TACAATGTAAAATAGGAAATTACATAATAATAATAATAATAATAATAATAATAATAATAATAAAAGAATATTTGGTAGGATATTAGTCCTAAAACTAGCTCTTAACACTCCCCGTCAAGCTAAGTGTTGAATTGAGACCAACACAAAGATTGGATCAAAACAATTTAAACAAAGGACGAGGTAATGCCTTTGTAAAAATATCAGCAATTTGTAGAGAAGTAGGAACACATCGAACAACCAAGCGACCCGAGGCAACCAACTCACAAATGAAGTGACATTCGAAATCAATACGTTTAGCATGCTTATGAGTGACATGATTCTTAGCCATAAACAATGCACTTTGATTATCACTAAGAAGGAGAGGAGTCGCGGACAACCCAACACGAAGTTCACAAAAGAGCACCAATAGTAACCAACTAATCACAAATAGTGCGGAATTTCTTTCCATATTCTGTAAGAGAGATGGAACCATGACGCATGAGTTGAAGCTCGTCACAGAGGCACAGTTCACGAGCCTTGCTGCGTGAAGCATAGGCAGTATGCAGACTATACCACTCCTCCATCTCTACCGTTTGCTATCTTGGTTAACATGATCACCATTCGGCTTAACTTTGAGAATTTTCTTCTCTAGCGTAAACAGGTTACTTCTCTTCTTCAAAATCAGAATCTGTTTCACATTGTTGATGGTTTTGTTGAACCACCATCACAATTTGTGCAGCAAAAACCTTTGCTATTGCCACCTCTCCAGGTTTACACACCGGTGTTTCTATTCTGAATCCTTGGTTCGCTCAATGGCAGGCTCAAGATCGAACGTCACCAGTCTCCTCCTTTCCTCCTTGACCAAGGAGGCCCTCTCTAAGACACTCAGTGCTGACACTGCTCGGGATATAATAATAATAAATATATATCATTTAATACATTAACGAAAATTATAATATATGTTAACTTGAATAGATAAATAATTGTATTTGTTTTAAAATATTGTACATATATATATATATATATTAAAATTATTAAATTTCCCTCCTACGGAAAGATCAACCGTCTATTGGCACAATCTATGAGAATACGATTGGCAGATAACCAATCCATCTCCAAGATTATGTCAATATCAACCAAAGGCAAACAAATTAAGTTTACCTTGTACTTCTTCCCATTCACAACAATGGGGCAGCCAGCACACAGTTCAGAAGTGACGACTGAAGCAGAAGCGGGCGTCGACACTAGCAGTCTCAATCCCAAATCAGACACAGGCACTCCCAACATAGCAACACAAGCATAGGAAATAAAAGAATGGGAATCCCCAGAATCAAACAAAAGCATCACACCCTCACCAGCAGCCTTGCCCTTCCCCTTCACTAGGTCAGAAGAAGTCGAAGCCTCAGCACCAGTCAAAGCGAACACCCTACCAGCTGTAGTGGGTCGGTCACCCCTCTGAGTCTCATTCCTCTGAACGCCACTCCTCTGAGTATCGGCTCTCTGCGCATCGCTCCTCTGAGTACTCATCTCCGGTCTACCCCTGGTGGGACAGTTGAAAGACACATGTCCCATCTGTTGACATCTAAAACACCTGTTCTTAGTGTGTGGACAATCCCTGATCAAATGGGATCCACCACATCTGTAACACCTAAGGGCAGCACCTCCACCCTGTCCTCCCCCTCTAGTAGTCTCAGTAGGTTGCCTAATAATAGGACCCCTTTGTTGTGGCTAGGGCCTATCATACGGCTTTATATATATATATATTAAAATTATTAAATTTGTAATAGGAGAGACTAAAATTGTACAATTATGATATTTGAGGGACTAAAATTGCACAATTATGATATTTGAGGAACTAAAATTGTTTAATTAAAAATTAATGGACCAAAATTGCATAATTGTAATTCTTTAGGGACTAAAGTTACCCAATTAAAACCTTGAAGATCAAAATTGCACAATTGCAATACTTAAGGGATCAAAAATACAATTAAGCCTATAAATTATTTATTATAAATCTAAAATATAACTAGCATTTTAATTTGTGTAATGTACAATATAATTATTTATTTTAGATGATTAAATTATAATAAATAATTTTTTTTATTAAATATTGTATTATAATTAAAATCATAATAAATAAATAGTTTTCAACATATAAATTATATTTTGGATTTATGATAACTAATTTATGTTTTAATATAAAATTATTTTTTATTATTGATAACTTTTTTAAGATATTGAAATAAGTATATTCAAAGAGAGAAAATATTAAAATATATTGAAGTATATATAAAAATCATAAAGAGATAAAACATTAAAATGCATTGAAGTAAATATAAAAATATACAGAGAGATAATATTTGAATTTCATAGGTATATATTTTATTTAGATATTCAGTTGTTATTTGTTAGATAATATATCGTTTGTTACGAAAATTATAGGATTTGACTCTTTTTAATGTGAGACAATTATTCTTTAGATAATAATGTACAATAATAATAATTTAAATAAAAAAATTAACAGTTAATAATATAATTAATTTTA